CATACACAGTAAAAGCATTTGGCCAAATTGAAAACTTTTTTCATGATTAATTAAAGAAAATAACCTACAAAACTCTCAGCGTGATAAGAAGAGAAGGCAACAGTTCCAACCCAGCTAAGGGCAGATTATAAAAACCTGCAGGTAACATTATATTGAATGGCATAAGATTGAATACTTTTCTGTTTAATCAGAGAAAAAAATAGAATATATGTTTTTACTCTTTCAATTTAGCATTATACTAGAGATCTAAACCAATGCAATAAAGCAAGAAAAATAAATAAAAGCCTTGAAGAGATTCAAAAGAAAGAATTGAAGCTCTCTTTATTTGCAGATAATGACTGTGTATGTTACCAATCCTAGAAATCTACAATAATCTACCCAAACTAATAAGTGAGTTTGGTAATGTTGCAGAATAAAAGCTCAATATAAACAGTCTTTTGTATTTTTGAATATTAGCAATGAGCATTTGGAAAATGAAATAAAGATATAATGTCATTCAAAGTAATTTCTAAATACATGATGTTCTTAGAAATAAATTCAACAAAATTAAGGTAAGGCCAGTACACCAAAAACTGCAAAAAACTGCTTTGAGAAATCATAGAAGAACTAAATCAGTAGGGGAGATAAACCTTGCCATGGATCAGAAGAGTTGTTATAGTTAAAAAGTCAGTTCTTCCCAAATTGGTGTCCAGGTTCAGTGCAATTCTAAGAAAAATTCCAACTGGCATTTTGGTTGAAATTTACAAGCAGACTCTACCATTTATATGGAATGTCAATGATCAAGAATAGTAAAAGAAAAATATTATAAAAGACCCAAAGTGAACAAACTCACTACCTATTTCCAGAATTACTGTACAGCTGTGAAAATCAGGATCATGAATTTTGTTGAAAAAAGTAAAAGAACATATATCAGTGAAACAGAAGACAGAATCCAAAAATAGATCCTCACATATATGTCTCATTAATTAAGATGTATCTATATATATATATATTTAACTTTTTGAAGGTTTGTATTATTATCTCCAATAGGGAACACAAAAAGAAGCCACAATATAGGAGATATTATACTTACTGCCAACAAAGAATTTTTTCAAGAGTATACATATAATGCAGTCTGATATGAGAAACAGCATAATGAAACCATTTCTCAAAAGACTTGAATAGATATTTCAGAAAAGAAAATATATGAATGGTCAATCAGCACATAAAAAGATGCTCCACTTGTAATCAGGGAGAGATCAATCAATACAACAATGAGACACCAGAACATCCCCATGAGAATGGCTACAATTAAAAAGGCCAAAAATACCACAGGTTGGTGAGCATATAAAGCACATGCACATCTTATGTTTGTGGGAAGGAAAAATGGTGTGACTCTTTGAAAATCTAATTGTTTCTTAAAGGTTAAACATACACAGATGAGACGGACAGTCATTCCATTTATAGGAATTTACACACTATGTCTGCACAATGATCTGCATGTGTGTTTCTGGACCAAACTAAAGCGCAGGCCACTATTTCTTGTGGCCCAGTATTGAGATGCAGATGAACTGGGGAGAAAGAGAGTTTTTATTTCTGCCACTGGTTACAGGGAGAAGTCCTGGAAATTATCACCAGACCAACTCAAAATTACAAAGTGTTCTAGAGCCTATGCGCCTTCTAGGCTATATGTGTATGTGTAAATGTGCATTCATCTAGACGTATAAGTGACTGACTTCTTTTAATCTATAGCTAAAGTCTGAGTCCTGAAGCCCTTCCTCTGGAGTCTCAGTAAATTTACTTAATCTAAATGGGTCCAGGTGCTGTTGTGATTATCCTTATCTTGGAGGTTTGGGGAGTTCCTTCAGACCTCCAATAGACTTGTTAGTGGAGGACTGGGAAGTTTCTTCAGACTCCCAATATAATTTGTTTAATTCTAAATGACTCCTGTTAAGAATTCCTTTGTTACTTTGTCATGCTTTAAGGTCAGGAAAACCTAGGCGAAACTCTTGGTGGGCATTTCTTACATTCCAGCCTTTGTAGAAAGCCACTGTCTTTGTGTGTGTGTGTGTGATTTTAATATTTAGCTTAATCACTCAGTTGGTACTCAAACAGTTCTTATGGAAGCCTGTGTCAGTGAGACCTGACCTGCCACGTGTGGTTGCTCATGATATTTTCTTCGTCATAGCCCAAACCTGGAATGATAGAAATGTCCCTTAACAATTGGATGTATGAATAAATGTGGTATAGCCACCCAAAGGAATACTACTCAGCAATTACAAGGCATTAACTGTTAAAGCAAATACTCATATGAATGGATTTTTAAATTAAGTTGATGCATGAAAGAAGGCAGAAACAAAATAACATAGGTATCATTTCATTTATAGAAAATGGTTACAAACACCTAAAGTGGCAGTGGCTCACTGGGGCTGAGGGTTGAAAGACTGATGAACTGCAAAGGGGTACAAGAGACTTTGGGGCTTATGGGAATTCCTCTGTCTTGATTGTGGCAGTAGTTCCATTAGTGTATACATTGGAAAACATGGCTTGAATTACACATTTTAAAGTGGTGCGGTCTCTTGTACCTAAATCACACCTTTATGAAGCTGATTTGATAATCTTAATTTCTGCATACTAACAATTAGCAGCTTGAAAATGAAATGCAACACAACATACAAGAGATTAATATCCAGAATCACTACATGCTTAAGAATACACATAATGAAGCAGGTACAAGTCCCCTAAAAGCAATTGGTGAGAGAAATTCAAGAAGACTACATAGAGAAATACATATCATGTTCATTGACTGGAAGACTCAATTTGGTTAACATGTTATAGCAACACAATTCTGATTAATAGTTCCAGTAGAAGATTTTAGAGAAATCTAAAAGCTAATTTCAAAATGTATTTGAAAATCAAAGGCCAGTTGGTCTTGAAGAAGCAATAGGTTGGAGGACTTACTCTGCTAGATTTCAAACCTGATTTTAAAGCTAGACTGATTTCAAAATGATAGGATAGGACTGGTGTGAGTATCCATAAATATATCACAGTGAAAGAACACAGATTCAAATGATATGCCCACATATGTATAGTTATTTAATTTGTTTTAGTAGAATCATTTTTACTCAGGAAAACAACCCAAATCTGCAAAACAAAAAGTTTTCCAACCACACTCATGAGGGGTATGGGTATGGGGAGGTGTCTGTCCATCTAGCCCTGTCCCCCAGCCCATGTGGCTTTGGCAGTAAGAAGAGATGTGGGGTAATGGCCCCGAAATAAAAATGGTGTATGTGTGTATGGGAAGGAGAGGAGTACAAAGCTGTGGGGAGCAGTGGAGGGGAAGCGACAGAGGAGGTCACCACTGGGAAGGCTGAAGTGGGGGGCATTTCATGATCTTTCTCATTGGCGAAATTGCCGAGGACACCTTCTTTGTCCACCAGCAGGCCTAGCGTCTTGGCAGTCATGGCGACGGTGACATTGGAAGTGGAGGCTCCACCGATGCTCTTGGTAAGAAGGTCCCAGGGCAAGTCCTGCAGCAGTGAGTCCGGACCACAGAACATTTCTGCCCCTGCAGTGTCGGCCCATTCACGAAAATCCTTTACCAGTCGGAGTCTAGCTCTGTCACCCAGGCTGGAGTTCAGTGGCTCTGTGGTGTGGGTTGCTTTCGTATCTGGAATATGCCTGACGTCCTAAGACCTGGAAAGTTTTCAGTGAGTTTTGACAGGAGGTCGAATTACTGACAGAATTAGATGGTGTGTGGAGATGCTTCAGCAGGAGGACGGTAAGTGGAGGAGCAAGACCAGGTCACAGTGAGAGACAATGAGCATCATCAACCACCCCTACCACGACCGTGATCTTACCAGGTTCTGTTAGGGGAAGGCAACATACATCAATGGTGTTATAGCAAATATGTGTGTGTGTATTTGTGTGTGAGTATCTTCAACAGTAATACATCAAAACCGTTCATGGCCCTGTTCCTTTTCAATATATGGGAAAACTAAATGAAAACAACAAAATAGCATTGGGTTTACAAGACTTCCCAAAATATATGCTCACACACATTTTCAGCGGATATACACAATTGATTTTTATCGCTTGATACCTTGAAAAGATCTCTTGTGAGACAGAATATTGGTAAGTGACAAGTATGAAAAAAAGTGTTCAGTGACATCAAAGCAACAAATCCACCCACAGATAGAGGAGGAGCTTCGCACTTAGGGATGTGAACTGGTCGTAAGTGTAATGAAAAGCCAAGATGCTGCCTCAGTGAGAGAAAAGAAATCAACAGAATAATGGGATGCAGCGAGGAGAATACCGAGCCAGGGGAGAAAATATTTTTAAAAATAAATTATTCATTAACGTTTCAGTAGGTACAGAAAAGAAATGCAGAACCCAGAAGGTATCGTTGCTGTCTAAAAGTTTGATATCTTTCATGTGTGTAAAAGCCTTAAGATCTGCTTGAACTTAGAGAAGGTGTGGTGACTTCCTGAAGACCACTAAGAAAATATAACATTTTGGGAAACTGTCTCTACCTTGATGATTTTGAACCCACAAGAGATGGACAAAGAGGAATTTGCTTAAACGTATGAAGGTGAGTCTGCAGCACTGTCACAGGGGGTGCGAATACTGAGAGGGACTGCTGAGGAAATGGTCCCCATCAGGGACTCTCAGGTGAGACCAGGGGGCCTTGGGTTTCAGCACAGCCTGGGCAATTGGAATGCGGGGCTCCTGAGATTCCATGACACCCCCCACCTTCTAATTCTGTTATTGCAACGGCAGAGGGTTACCTGGCTTGCTGGCTGAGTCCTCCCTCACTCTTGTAGTGTCTGAGCTACAGGCAGTGCCTTCAGCTCGGAGCTCAGGCGTCCTAAAAGCTGTTTTTGCTGTTAAGGACCCTACAGTGCTGTGGGGTGTTGATCAAGTTCTTCTTAACCGTAAGTCAACCGTTCCAGCTGTGGTCATTCCTCAGTGCTGACTAAACCCATTTGATTTCACTAGTTTTTGACCCATCCTGTGTTTGGGCTTCTTCTCCCTAGTCCGTGTTACACCTCTTCTGCCACAAACGTCACCATGGTGGTGTCTGCTGGACATTTATCCAGGGAGAGGGCGGAGACAAACATCCTAGAAATGAACCAGGAATTGTGCTCCCAGCTGGCAGAGAGCCAGCAGCGGTTCCAAGACCTCAAAGAGAAATTTCTTGTAAGTCAAGCTACTGCCTACTCTCTGGCCAAGCAGCTGAAGAAATACAGTAAGTTCTATCAATTCCTTATCACAAAAGTGATGAATCAGCGCCTGCTTCTCTCTGAGATACTGAATGGTCCCTTCATCTAAATCAATTTCATCCTTTCCTTAGTTCTAGGAAAATAGAAATGGGTATTTTAACTTCATTGTGTTCAGGATGGAAAATGGAAGCATGATGTGTTTAGCAACTTTTCCACGTTAGCAGTCCAGTGTGCGGTGGACTAGAGTTAAAATCCTACTTAATGACCTGACACAGGCACAGAAGTACTTGCTTTCCTCAGCAAGGTGCTCAATCACGTTTATGAGAATCCTCTCTGTACCCTATAAGATCCTGCAGACAAATAACTTGTAGTGTGTTGGTAAATGTCTGGGACCAAAGAACTGCCATTCAGTTTAAGCTCCTTTGAGGCCAAGTAGGCAAATCAATGTTGTGGGGACACTGGGGGAAACATGGTGACAGCACAGAGTACCTGCTCTAAGGAGCTGAAACAGGAGACTGCTCCTAATGGTAAGTGTGGCATCTATACGTGAGGTCATCCAGAGCAGGACATACCCTGGTGAGAGGGAAGTCCTGCTTCTTGGGGCACAGGCTCTTATTCTAAAGAGGAAGAAAGACAGGACTTAGACATTGTGGAGGTCACAGTGTATCGTGTGGAGTAGGGAGCCTGGGCCAGACTCCTGGGCTCCATCCAAGTTGCCTAGCTTCTCTGTGCCTCAGTTTCCTCATCTGTTCTTTGGGTATTATAATAATGACTACCTCTGTAAATTGCTGCAGTGAATTACACAACCTGTTTCTTCAAAATCTCCTAGAACAATGCTTGGAACAGAGTAAACACTATTGGTTCTTTATTCTACTATTTCTGACTTAATTTAAACTTTATTAGTATTTGGTGATATTTCTTTTATGACTTCAGGGTCTAATGCCTCCTGTTTTATGCAGTTATATTCAGATATGATTCTTCAAATCTTTGACAAATTTGTGCCTGAAATTCCCAGTTCCAGGGAATCCATGAGTCCCGCAGTCCTAAGGGCATTTCCTACTCTCCAGAATATCAGTATTTCATGCCCCCATAGAGTGTTCTCAGGAGAGGCTGCAAGGCTTGGGAACGTGGCCCAAAACTAAGAGTCAGACCTTGGGGGCTATGAATTCCGACTCTGTCTCATTCCAGGTGAATTATCTTATCAAGTTACTTGGTGTGCCATTGAGTTTCTTTTTCCCCATCTCTAAGTTGGAGAGAGTATCAGATGCCAGCAAGTTGGGAGGTTGATAATTAAAAATGAGGAGATCCCTTGCTGGAGCCTGATAGTGGGACACTTTTGTCCTTGGGATGGACACTGCCACCTGCCACGTAGGCGGTGACCACAGCAGCCTGTCCAGCCTTCCACTGAGGCAGGCGTGACTGTCTTTTCTCAGAATGTGAAGAGTACAAGGACATCATAGACTCTGTGCTGAGGGATGACGGGCAGTTCATAGAGGAGAAGCTGACAGAGAAGCTCAGGCAAGCTGAGGACGACCTCAGGTGAGCAGATGCCGTGGGGACAGGTAGGTGGGCAGGGCTCTGATCTCTGAAGGGCAGCAGTTCAGCTGGGAGAACCAGGAGCCAAGCTGGGCCAGGAGCAGGACAGGCATTGACATGGCAGGCACATTTGACACTGACACTCATAAAGCACAACAGTAATCTTAGCAGGTTATGGGTGCTGCTGTTCCTGAGCTTTGTTTACTCTTTCTATAACAACTAATCGTTGAGTCAAAATTTGCACATCCAAAATTAATTAAAGGAAAGTGAACCACCCAGCAGCTTTTAGTACAATATATCCCACTGACCCCTAGAGTCACCTCCTGGCTGACTGCAGCAACTCATTCGTTCAGTCAATACTGCCTTCTTGGCCTGTCCTTCTTTTCTTCTTTCATCTTTACAATTCACCCCATCTGCACCTGGCCACATTTCTGTGCATGGCTCTGTTCCAGTCACTGCCCGATGCACTATGTGAATTTTCACATAGAAATGTCTATGACTAAAGTCAGGAACTGAAAGGATATCCTTAGAACTGATTTGGGAAGACACTGACTTTTGTTTACAGAAGAAAGCAATGAATGGAAAATCATAGAGGAACTCACAGGAGCTCCCTCTGATACAGGGAAGCCTCCAAGTTTGAAGCAATTCTCCTGTCTTGGCCTCCCAAGTAGTTGGGACTATAGGTGTGCACCACCATGCCTGGCTAATTTTTGTATTTTTAGTAGTGACAGGGTTTCAGCACATTGGCCAGACTGGGTTTGACCACTGATCTCGGGTTCTGCCCACCTCAGCATCTCAAAATGCTCAGATCACAGCCATTGAGTCACCATGCCCTGCTTTTAAAAATAAATGAATATTTATTTATTATTAGATTATACATACATAATATGGCAGCCATGCTCTGTTGCAGAGAGGAGGATTTCCTGTTCCCTCTTAAACAGAATCTCCCCTTTGCTTTCTGGGCCCACTACCTTATGCCTCCTGTCAAAACCACTTGGGAATTCCTGGAGGTCAATCCCTCATGGTTTAATCTTTGTCATCTCTAAATATATAGATATGGATATGGTATAGATGTATACATACAGAAACACACACACACACACAAACACACACACACACACACATATTACTCTGGACCACAGGCATTTTCCAAAACATGTTGTGACCTTCTGCTTGGGGGGCTCCTTGAGGACATTCTCACATAATCCACCATTGCAGTATTAGAACTGATCACTCATCCCTTTCCGTTATTAAACCTTCTCTGCTATCTCACCGCAGGCAATATAAAGCCCTGGTTGACTCTCAGGCAAAGGAGCTGACCCAGTTACGGGAGAAGTTACGGCAACGGAGAGATGCCTCCCGCTCACTGAATCAGCATTTCAAGGCCCTCCTCACTCCTGACCACCTTGAGAAGTCCCAGAGTCAGGACTTCTGAGTGCAGCTGGCTAAGTGGCACAGGCTGGCAGAGCGTTACATCAACAAGCTCAGCCCAGGTAAGGTGGGCACAGGCCCTGATGACACACAGCCCCAGGCTTATGAAAGTCCCCAGACCACCACACCTCCACAATGGTAGTTTTATTTCTTTCCACTAAAAATTCGTAGCCATGACATAAGCAGGACCTCCTGGGCAAAAACTGAGATGGAAAACCCATGGGCTTGGAGGTCACAGTATTGCAAATGTCTCCCCATTTCTTGCTGGAACGTGGTCTTTGGGGCAAGAGGCAGCATCCGTCCAGTTTTATAGGACAGGATGGAGGCTGCGGCAGGAGGCAGCTTGTTAGAGTCAAACGAGCCCTGCACTAAGAATGAAGTTTCCAGGCCCTATCTTCAGCAGTGTCTTTAGCAACTGTGGGGAACCGATTAATTTATCCTTCCTGAGTTCCTGTCTCTACATCTGTAAAGGCAGACAAGTTGTATCTGGCATTCAAATGTGGGAACGCTTACCACTCTATTTCACGATGAGATAAAGCCCCTGTCTGTGTGGTGTTGGAGAAGGCACTTGGTGTGGGGGCATTTGGTGGTAGGAAGCCGTGTATTTGAAGCACTCCACGTGGAGAGTCTGTTCCCGGATAAGACAGCTGAAGCCTCCTGGAGGGCCCAGAAAGGCCCCGATGTGTACAGTACTGAGGGACAAGTAAGTTTGTCCTTTCGTTAAGAGAAAGATACAGGTTTTAATGTAAGCTATGACAGGACACAGAGCCAGTGGCCGGGTATCAGAAGTGAGGCAGGATTGGGGAGACAGCTGCTGAAACTTAGAGAGAGGCTGGGTAAGCCTCCAATAATATGGGCAGCAAGATGTCCTTTCACTATTTGGCCACATCTTGATGGTGACCCTCCGGATCAGAAACACATTGCCTCATGGATCAGGAAAACCTGTCAGGTTAAAGATAAAATATGACAGTTTTCAATACAATGCAGACCCATATATGCATGATCGTGTCTCAGTTCACATAGGGCTGACTGTGATTCCAGTGGGTGAAGTGAGAAATATCTGAATAGATGCTTCTGTAGTTCCAGAAAGTGATGAAGAGGAGGATGAAGATGGGACAGATGAGGAGGTCGAGAAAGTCCGGGAATCAGCTGTCCTCAGGTAACACTGAATAATCAGGAGCAGGTAATGGGTGGTGAAACATAGAAAAGGTCTCAGAAAGAACATAAGGGAGGTGAGGGTAGTCACAGATTCCAGATGCAGGATACAGACAGCTGCAGAGTGCACTGATTTCATACACTCACCAACAAGGATATAGCCACATTAACATGTTTGTCCATTGTCTTCATGGTACATTTAGCACGACCCTCAATGAACTCACTAACCCTAGGGACTTCCTGCACACACAGAGGAGACCTATCGTCCCCTGTAGTGAAGCCAGGACGAGATGCAAAACCGCTTTCTACATGGTTTTCTTTAGACTCTTGTCTGGGAAGCCAAACAGCAAAGAGGCAAGATGCAGAGGAATTAGGAAGCATCTAGCCAAGTTAAACACCAAGAAAAGTACCTGGAAAAATGTATATTTCATGTCACAATGTGAAAATGTAAAAAAATCTAGAAGGCACACCATCTCCGGAGTCTACCGTGGCTCAGACACCTGTATTTCCTTGGCCACAGTATGTTAAATACAACCCAGCTTAGACACACAGTGTGGCAGCTGTCTTTGGTTCTGTGTGTGCGCTGTGAAGATTGTCCCATACAGAAGCAGCTGAGTCTCTGTCTTCCTCGGCTTCTGTCTGTCCAGTGCAATGAACACCAGCTGCTCTCTTCCTGTCTGGTTCCCATGGAAGCCATGCTCTGTTGCAGAGAGAGGAGGGTTACCTGTTCCCTCTTAAATGGAACTCCCCTTTGCTTCCTGGGACCACTACCTTATGCCTCCCGTCATAACCAGCTGGGAATTCCTGGGGTCCAATCCTTGGTGGTTTAACCTTTATCATCTCGAAATATATAGATATAGATATAGATATGCTGTAGATACACACACACACACACACACACACACACACACACACACACACACACACAGACATACATACATACATCTGGACCACAGGCATTTCCCCAAACATGTTGTGACCTTCTTCTTGGAGGGCTCCTTCAGGACATTCTCACATAAACCTCTGTTGCAGTAATGAACTGATCACTCATCCCTTTCCGTTATTAAACCTTCCCTGCTATCTCACCGTAGGCAATATAAAGCCCTGGTTCACTGTCAGGCAAAGGAGTTGACCCAGTTACGGGAGCAGTTACAGGAAGTGAGAGATGTGCCCCCCTCACTGAATCAGCATTTCATGGCCCTCCTCACTCCTGATGACCGTGACACGCCCCAGGGTCAGGACCTCCGAGTGCAGCTGGCTAAGCGGCACAGGCTGGCAGAGCGTTATGTCAACAAGCTCAGCCCAGGTAAGGTGGGCACAGGCCCTGATGACACACAGCCCCAGGCTTATGAAAGTCCCCACACCTCCCCACCCGCACAATGATAGTTTTATTTCTGTCCACTAAAAATTCCTAGCCATGACATGACCAGGACTTCCCGGGCAAAAACTGAGATGGGAAACCCATGGGGTTGGAGGTCACAGGATTGCAAATGTCTCCTCATTTCTTGCTGGAACATGGTCTTTGGGGCAAGAGGCAGCATCCGTCCAGTTTTAAAGGACAGGAAGGAGGATGTGACAGGAGGTAGCTTGTTAGAGTCTAAAGAGCCCTGGTCTAAGAATGACGTTTCCAGGCTCTATCTTCAGCAGTGTCTTTAGCAACTGCAGGGAACCAATTAATTTATCTTTCCTTAGTTCTTGTCTCTACAACTGCAAAGGCAGACAAATTGTCTCTTGCATTGAAATGCGGGAACACTTATGAGTCTATTTCACCATGAGATAAAGCCCCTGTCTGTGTGCTGTTGGAGAAGGCACTTGATGTGGGGGCATTTGGTGGTAGGAAGCCGTCTTTTTGAAGATCTCCATGTGGAGAGTGTGTCTTGGAGGTCCCACAGAGTTCCCGATGTGTACAGTACTGTGGGACAAGTTAGTTTGTCCTGTGTTTAAGAGAAAGATACAGGTTTTAATATAAGCTGTAACAGGACACAGAGCGTGGGCCTGGGTATTAGAAATGAGGCAGGATTGGGGAGTCAGCTGGTGAAGCTTAGAGAGAGGCTGGATAAGCCTCCAGTAATATGGGGAGCAAGATGTCCTTTCACTATTTGGCCACATCTTGATGGTGACCCTCCGGATCAGAAACACATTGCTTCATGGATCAGGAAAACCTGCCAGGTTAAAGATAAAATATGAGAGTTTTCAGTACAATGCAGACCCATATATGCATGTTCGTGTCTCAGTTCACATAGGGCTGACTGTGATTGCGGTGGGTGAAGTGGGAAATATCTGAATAGATGCTTCTGTAGTTCCAGAAAGTGATGAAGAGGAGGATGAAGATGGTACAGATGAGGAGATCCAGAAAGTACAGCAATCAGCTGCCCCGAGGTAACACTGAATAATCAGGAGCTGGTATTGAGTGGTGAAATATGGAAAAGATCTCAGAAAGTACATAAGGGAGGTGAAGTTAGTCACAGATTCCAGATGCAGGATACAGACAGCTGCAGAGTGCACTGATTTCAGGCACTCACCAACAAGGAAATAGCCCCGTTAACATGCTTGTCCCCTGTCTTCATGGTACCTGTAAGCACGACCATTGATGACCTCACTAGCCCAAGGGACTTGCTGCACACAGAGAGGAGACCTGTCCTCTACTGTAATGAAGCCAGGACGAGATGCAAAGTCACTTTCCACATGGTTGGCTTTAGACTCTTGTTAGGGAAGATAAACAGCAAAGAGGTAAGAAGCAGAGGAATTGGGAAGCATCTAGCAAAGTTAAACATGAAGAAAAGTACCTGGAAAAATGTACATTTCATGTCACAATGTGCAAATTTAAAAAAATCTAGAAGGCGCACCATTTCCAGGGTCTACCATGACTCAGACACCTGTATTTCCTTGGGTACAGTATGTTAAATACAGCCCAGCTTAGACACACGGTGTGGCAGCTGTCTTTGGTTCTGTGTGTGTGCTGTGAAGGCTGTCCCATACAGAAGCAGCTGAGTCTCTGTCTTCCTCAGCTCCTGTCTGTCCAGTGCAATGAACACCAGCTGCTCTCTTCCTGTCTCATTCCCATGGCAGCCATGCTGTCTTGCAGAGAGAGAAGGATTGCCTGTTGCATCTTAAATGGAACCCCCCCTTTGCTTTCTGGGACCACTACCTTATGCCCTCCATTAAAACCAGTTGGGAACTCCTGCGGTCCAATCCGTCGTGGTTTAATCTTTGTCATCTCTATCCTACCTGGCTCATCAGGGAGGTGCAGAACGCTGAGGAAAACGAAGTCCCTCAGGACTCACTGGAGGAATGTTCTGACCTTTGTTCAAACAGCGACGGCCCTTCTGACTCCAACCAGCCTCACAGGAGCGCCGAAGTCACATTTGAGGAAGACAAAGTCGTCTCTGCTCTGATTGTAGACAGTGACAGCTCTCAGGATGAATGGGAGGACGCTCTATGCATTCTCCCAGGTAGGCTCCATACTCTTTGTCCCTCCTACCTCTGTCTAGGCTGAGGAAGATCAGTTCTGAGCATAGGCTGTATACACACACATTGGTTTGGATCAGAAAGCAGGATGGAGCTGGGGGCAGTGGCTCACACCTGTAATTTCAGCACTTTGGGAGGCCCAGGTGGGTGGTTCACATGAGGTGGGCAGTTCAAGATTCGTTTGGGAAATGTGGTGAAATCCATCTTTTCAAAGAATACGAAAAGTTACCCAGGCACGGTGATGCCTATAGTCCCACCTACTCGGGAGCCTGAGGTCGGAGAGTCATCTAAGCACAGGAAGTTGAGGTTGCACTGAGTCATGACTGCATCACTACACTCCACCCTGGGTGACAGAGAGGGACTGTGTCTCAAAAAAAAGGAGAAAGGAAAAAGGAAGGAAGGAGGGAAGGAAGGGAGGGAGAGAGGGAGTTGGGAGGGAGGACTAGGATGGAACATTTAATACAGATATCAGTGGGCCCAATGGCTTTCCATTTCTCCCTGGACCTAGTATCAGGTTACTGGACCACAGCCAGGTGTGACAAATTCATAGCCACCTTTGTACAGGAGGTATCTGTCAGCCTTCTAGCCCAGTTTCTATGTTTCTTGTCACCTGTAATGATGTCATCGTGTCCCTGCACACTGTCCATGGAGTTTCTATGCTTGTCCATGGCCACTCACAGCCTTGTCTGCGTATGTGGAGATGACGTTTTCCTAGTTTCAGTCTTCTTGGCCTCAGTCTTGGTCTCCTTTAAGTCAGCTTGTCTTAGCTATGCAGTCATCTTGACACCAGGACAAATATAAATATAAATTTAACATTTCATCGAGGAGGATATATGATGAGGTAAATCAATATTGCAGCACCACTTCTGGTGAGTAGTTAGGGTCAGTTTTGAAGATGATGGGGAAAAAGTTTTCTTTAATTGTTTGCACGGACTTAGGTCAGAGGATATGTGATTATGATCTATCAGATGAGGGAGATTCTGTCCCATGGGTCTGGAAAGCAGGCTGAGCTACTTCTGATGAGACTTGATCTAGAGAGCATTAGAACCTGCCTGTCAGAATATCATTTTTTACACTGAGGATATTCATGTCCCTGTGCTGTGACTGGACACTGATTTAGTCCTGTGTGAAGTGCGACTTGCTGACTGTGACCTGCTCTTCTGAATTTGTTTCCAGGAAATCAAAGTGATCATGAGGAAGAGGAAGGGAAAGCCCCAGTGCCCGCAAGGTAACTGGATTTGTGGGGTGTTAGCTCAAAAGTGGCACGTGGAGACCAGGGATCCTGGGAAAATAGGAGAGAAAGTGATGACTAGAACTGTCTTACCCATTCATCCAACTGCAGATTACCCCTTTTACAATGTTGTCTTCTTTACTGTGGTACTTGAATAGGTTTTAATTTCTTCATCCTTTGCAAACATCGGAACTGACAGTCAGTTGATCCAGGTGAACTGACCAAACTCAGGATTTCCTGATCTCACCTGTTGTCTGCCTCTTTGGCATTTCCATGTTTGCACGTATTTGCTAGCAGGAAAGTGAATGAAAACAACTCATGTCATGCTCACAGTTTTGAGAACAAGTGAGGTTGAAGATACAGGAACTCTTTCTGTGAAGATTCAAGAACCTGTATTCATTTAGCCTCTGATGCTAATTTCAACAAAATGTGTGTGAAAGTGCTGAATGCACTGTGTCCTGGCAGTTCCCCACAGGGATCCCTCCAGCTGTTCCTCCCCAGCTCATTGTCTTCCCAGTGCACTGAGCACCTGCCGCTCTGTCTCCTGCTCGACACAGGGAAGGGCGGTTGTGTCTCTCTGAGTGGACTGTACTTGGCTTCGTCTGGCCTCTCCTGTGGTCCTCCCTATAGAGCCAGCTGAGCACAGTGCTTTTGGTCATGTCTGCTGTTTATCTTCTGCCTTCTTCACCCCAGGCTGACCCAGGAGCTACTAGAGTGGAAGGAGCAGGAAGCCCCGGAAGACTCCCTGGATGAAATTTACTTGACTGCTTCAGTTCCGTGTGACCTGTCTGACCGCCACCAGCCTGATAGCAACACCTTGTCCTCACTGGAGGATCAGCTCTCATGCTCTGCTCTGGATGTAGCCTGTGAGTACTCCAGCCTGAAGGTCACAAATCTCCACGGTCCTCCCAGGCAGCCTCGCTATGTTTTGTCTCTCAACTTGTGTCACGGAGACAGACCATCAATGCAGACAGGCCCTGTAAACTGAGCCCGTTTTGAATCTGACTGTTGGTTCCATTTTTTCATCACAGACATCCAGTGGGAAGAACTTCCTCTTTTCCTGTCCCAAGTGTCTCCTCGGTCACCTGGCTTCTTCTCACAAGAACAGGCTGTGGACATGAAAACAGGAAAGAGGTCAGGGCTTCTAGCAAGTTTTTGGCCACAGTAGCCCATCTGGATATATGTGCATAACAAACCTTCTTCTGTAAGACAGGGCATCTCTCTGTTCTTAAATTATGTTGCTAACTGCATGCCTTGCACAGTGCCCTTATCTCTTCTCTGGCCATCCACACACCCAGGCAGTGGTGCACCATTATTTCAGAGGCCATTTTATAATTCCTGTGTCTGATAAGGATTCTCTACTCTAGGGATCCCCAGCTCAGGGGCCATGGACCTTTGGGAGTCCATGAGCTGTTAGGAACTGGGCCACACAGAAGGAGGTCAGTGGTGGGAAAGCATGACTGCCTGAATTCTGCCTCCTGCCAGATCAGCTCAGCAGTGGCATTCGATTCTCACAGGATTTGAACCCTATTGTGACTTGCACACGTCAGCGATCTAGGTTCTGCACTCCTCATGACAATCTAATGCTTCATGATCTGTCACTGACTCCCAGTGACTGTCACCCCCACGTGGGACCATCTAGTTTCAGGAAAACAAGCTTAGGGTTTCCACCGATTGTACATTTTGGTGAGTTGTATAATTATTTCATTTGATAATACAATGTAATCATCATAGAAATAAAGTGCACTAAATATGTCATGTGCATGAATCATCCCAAAACCTTCCCCCCTACCCTGGACCCAGAAAAACTGTCTTCCATGACACTGGATGCTGGTGCCAAAAAGGTTGGGGACTGCGGCTTCACCTGCTCGGAGGTGTCTTCCCTCCACTGACACTGTCCAGCGTCTCTTCCTTTACTCAGGGCCAGGCTTGCATCCTCTGCAGAGCTCCAGTGGCTTTTTCCATGTGTGGGTTTGTGGTTTCAGTCGTGATTTCATGTCAGTGCTATATTCTCCTGAAAACCATTGAGAATGAGTGTCCCTCATGAGGTACCATCCTAACTGATGAGCAAAGCAGAGTGGATTCTATCCTCATGATTTCCAGAGAACCCTTCCTCTTAGCAAGGGCCCCTTGCTATAGCAGCTTCACAGGCGATGTAGAGAAAAATTCCAACTTTCATTTATTTTTGCTCATTGTATTTTTTTTTAACTTCCATTCTGGGAGTTTCATGTGGATTGTTGGGAGTTTCAACCATCAACCTATTGTCTAGTAAGAGCAAGTAACTCTGTGATGTACCCCAGTATATTTGATTATGTCATAATAAAATTAGCAACAGTGCCAGGCGCCGTGGCTCATGCCTGTAATTCCAGCACTTTGGGAGGCCGAGGCAGGTAGATTGGTTGAGCTGAGGAGTTTTAGACCACCATGGGCAACATTATAAATACATGTGCCTATGAAAAATTAGCAAGGCATGGTGACACACACCTGTAGTCCCAGCTACATGGGAGGCTGAGGTGGAAGAATCACCTGAACCTGGGAAATTGAGGCTGCAGTGTTGTCATTGTACCACTGCACTGCAGCTTGAGCAACAAGGTGAGACCCTGTGTCACACACACACACACACACAGAAAGAAAGAAAGAAAGAAACTAGTAATGAAAATGTTGGCCTCTATTCTGCTTTGGTCAGTGAGTGCCTTTTCTGCTGGGACCATCCCCTTTCCAGATTTGCATTTCTCCCTGAGTTTCTAAAAGCAAATACTTTTCTATGATCACAGTGATTCATGAAATAAATAAAATCCACATTGACCTTGCCTCTGCTGTATGCCCTGCTCCTTGCCAAACAAGCTCTGTCCTGCTATAAACCATTCAGGGTTGAAGGAATGCTCCTAAGGGGGCTGTGGCATCTCCAGGTTAGATCTGAGGATGCCGAGGCTCAGAAAGTTTCCTTCACTTTCCCAGGAGGCCCCGACTAGTCATGGTGGGAACATGGTCCCCTTGTCTGCCTGACTCCGTGGCCCTGTTTCTGTTATTTCTCTGTGGGGGTCCTGTCAGGGACTGAGCCACAATGGGTGATCACCCTTTTACCTTTGTAGGAATTATTTTCAAATAAAGTCAAGTTGAAACAGAAAGTTGCTGGTCTAGAATAAAGAACTGCTGTAGTCCTGGCACAGATTTCTCAGGGAGGATCGCCTCTGTGCACTTTGTCAGCAGAATCAGTGGCCCCTGCAGACCCTCCAGCGGGACCTACAGCTCCAGCAGGCTCTGCCTTGGAAAAGCACTCAGGGAATCAATGGTCCCTAGTGTCTCCCCACCGCCCATCCCCAGGGATTCAACTCTCAACGTGGTCATGTTTAGGTCCCTGTAAAGCTGCGGAGCAGCGCCTCACGAACACCCCAGCCAGGATGGGTCTCCTACAAGAAGGAAGGGAAATGCTCTGACACACGACTCAGAAGTGAGAGGCCTGTGACGTGGCTGGCCCTGCCAAGGCGTCAGGAATATAGGGCAGGAGAGGCCACATTTATCCATGCAGATGGGCCAAGATGAATGAACACGCCCTTCAGGTTACACCAGGATGCTCCTGTGTGTGGCTACTCGACAATAATGTGTGAATAGTGTGCACAGCACACAGCCCTGACCCAAGCAGCGGTGTCAGCGTGGATCTGCTCTGCCCCTGCTCTCCCTGCAGAGAAAGGCTTGGTAGATTTCAGGAGAATGCAACCTACATTATCTCCTGATCTTTTCTTGATGGCCTTTCCCAAACTGCCCAATTAACAATACTGCGGTACATCGGAAGTTTGAGAAAAAGCTTTCCCTTTTCTTCTGAAAATGCAAAGAATAATCAAAGTATAAATTAAGTAAGACTCAGTGGCCTAGAAAAGAGGGACAAAGCGAGATGGGAAAATTAAGTAGTGATAATGAAAGACATTCCCAGTGCATGATTCTAAACAGCAAGTGCAGAGAATCAGAAAGGGAGAGCTGTGTCTGCCCAGTCTCCATCAGTCAGATGTGTTGTTTCAGCATGTTTTCCTCATTTGCCCAATAGGAGCTATCTTAAAATGTGAGAGTGTCCTAAGTGGCTGATGGTTAACAATTAATAAAGTGTGCTCTCAGGAAGATGAAAGAGAACAGACAAAATGAACGCTTTGAGCAACTAGGGAGGCCAAGCCCGGTCAAGAGAGGGGCTTCTGGACAAAGACCAGGGAGCTGGATGGCACCTGGTGCCGGGTGGGGCCACGAAGGGGCCAGCATGACTCCAGGGAGAGCCTGTTTGAGCACATGGTGGGAGGCGATGCTGGGTAGGATCGTGGGGCAGAAGTTAGAAGGAGCACAGAGGCAGGATGAGGGGGACAGTCACGCAGGGGGCAGTGCAGAGGAAGTTTTCAGATGCAGAGTGGGAACAGGGTAAGAACAGGGCTTTGGGGAGATAAAAATGCTGAGATAATTGCTAAGTGGAGATGGCAGGATCAGAGAGAGCAGAGAGGGAGGGTGTATGAAACCAGGCATCACTGATGAGACTCTGATACGCCGAGCTCTCAGGAAGACAAAAGAGAATAGACAGAAGGAACACAGTTTTGAGAAAACTTAGGAAACCTTGGAGAGAATGAGGATGTGGAGAGGGGAGGAGAGAGGTGCCCCAGCAGCGTGGAGCCGGCCATACACCCCATCCCTGTCCTGAGCGCGACCCGGACTGGCATGAGGTCATTGGAAGTCTTTCCTTAGTCCACTCTGAGAATGTGCATTCCTCTCCCTGTGGAGATAGAAATAGTTTGTTTAGGATGTGTGCACAAACCCCACTGGAGAGTGGGTGATGTGAGGACTGTGCCGTGTGTTACCTTCCTGCAGAACCACTCCTGCAGATGTAGAGCTCTTGTGCTCCCTGAATTTCTGCGAAGGGACCGGTCCCTCGACTCCATTGCCTGTGGCTGCTGATGCCCGTTCTATAAGGCAGTAGGATGCAGACGTGTGGGCAGGGGGTTAAGCCATGACAGGCAATGAGAAATTCAAAATGTCCCAGGAGCCTGAAAAGTTTGCCTCACTTAGCGTTTGCTCTTTCTCATGGTTCTTTCTCAAAGCCTCGTGCCTCTAACGCTTGCCCTGTTCTTACACACCTGTGTTGTGGAGAACAGTTCTTCCTGTCCTATGCTCTGAGGGCTTTCGAGGACTTTCCCTCTAGGAACACGAAACAGGTTGATAATGCCAGACTAATCGTCATGACCTTGTTAACCAATCCAAAGTTTTCTGGGCTGAAGAAGGGGTTTTTCACTTCTGGGACACCCCAGCCTGGCACCTGCGGTGTCAGCGTCCCCAGGCACAGACAGGAAAGGTGACATTGCCTGCATTCACATGATGTCTGACTGTGTGGCCTGGGTGGCTTTACTGAGAGGCAGGGACAGCAGGGTTGGGGCTGTGGGTGTGCTTAACAAAGGGAAAACTGAGATTGTTCCTACTGAAGCCCCTTCTCCTTTCAGCTTCCACCCAGGCCGCCTGTCCCCAAGGGACTCGGAGTGGAGACTTGAGCCACCGCCTGTCACAGGTGCAGGTTTCGCAGACACAGCCGGATCCAAGTACCCTGGTGCCGAGCTGTCAGCGACTACAGCTGGATCAAGGGTTCGACTGCGGGAATGGCTTAGCCAGGCGGGGCCTTTCCGCCACCACCTACAGCTTCACAGCCAATGCTGACTCTGGGATCCAATGTTCCTTCCAAGGTAGGGAAGGAAAGGGGAGAGGAAGGTCTAATCCAGGTCTGGGTGGTCACGGTGCTGTCGGTGGTGCAGAGAATGGGGCCTCTCCGTGCTCACTCGGGGTCAGGTTAAATCCACGATACTCCCAAGGCAGTGAGGTGTGCAAGAGCCTGGGGCTTAGGACAAAATCTGCTGGCTGGTCCTGTGTTTGCGTTTTCCTGTTTGTTCCTTTTGCCACGGATTTTGTCTTTTTGCTAT